GATGAAGAAGACAGTAGCTGACTTCATCACAGTTAAAACCTGGATCAGGTGGACAGGACGACCATGAATCGATTTTCGTACTTGTAAGTTGATCTGATAGGTATTGGCATTCGGAATCAACAGTGGGTTCAAATTCAACACTGCAATCTTCTACAGAAAAACTCTGCTCTCCATGACATGGCCCTTCCTCTAAACATGCCTGCAGATGTTTCACCATGTCAGGATCAACCAGTTCAAGGAGCTTAATCAAGTACTCTCGAGCATTCGTGCTTGATGACAGTGCCGCCTCTAATTCCCCGTCACTCACTTCCATTGTGAAGTCACCTCTTGTGCACAACATATCACCTCTTTTATACCATTTCAAGATGGTACTTTTAATGCATTTCCCACCCTTGGGTGCTCACTGCCACCAACAGCATTGCTGTTGATGTAAGTTCGCTTTGGTTGATTCTCATGTGATTAAAGTGTGATCTCACTCGACAAGGTTCCCATAACAATGCCGAATTGTGTGGTTACTTTTCCTAACGCGAATCTCGTCTGTGAATTCTAATCAGTGTAGGATATTCACACTTGTTCTCTGGTGTTTAAAGACTGCACTATTTTGAAGTGTTGATTACTTGGGTCAATGCTTTGAGTTCAATCGAATTAAATGCTCATTTATATCGATGTTTTATTCTGTCTTGCATTCGTTTCCTAGAGTCGATCCATATGGCACATTCCTAGTTTAGGGATTTCGTTTAAAACTTAGTGAATCCCTCACCGTCGAAAGCTCGACTTATTTCAATGTTTGACGAAGTCTCTACAAGGAAAGTATCGTTCCTCTGCAATATATCAACCATCGAAAGCGCACTTTGAATCCTCAGAACCAACTCGTTTTCATCTCACCAAACAAAATCTGAAGCCAATCCTGATGTTTGATGCTTATCACAGGCAAGTCAACAAACCTTCATTTACCTATGTGGGTGCTCTTTCCAAGGCCAAGGGTCGTGATTCCCTTTACTCGGTTAGTTAGAAGCAGGTCGTTCATATTTGAATAAGCCTTATCACAGGCAAGTCAATAAACAGGAAAACTGGAATTCTGGACACAATTGACCTTATCACAACTGGGCAAATTGTAGGCAAATCTACTTATTGTGACTTACTAAAACCCTTTTTTCAAGCGAAATCTTTTTTTTAATTTTATTTTCAAGTCAGTGTTTCTTTCGATCTCAGTTACTAACTTTCAATTCTCTATATTTTACCCTAATTAAATTCGATTTTCTACCTTTGTTTGTAAGTATATGAAGCGAATTGGTTTAAAGTGAACATTTGTGTTGGTTATCTTTTCTTCCTTGTTGCGCAAAATATTAGAGCCAAGGAATGTGAACGGCCCACTTTTATACTATTCTCAAACTGCACTCCTGCCCAAAATAGCAATCGTGCTTTTATCTTCTTCATTTTAAACATGATAGTTGTGTGCTTCTGCTCACGTGTTCACTTACAACCGTGAAAATTCTCAAAAAATTATTAACACACATCCTCTGGGATTGATAAATAAATATTTCATTTTATAAAATAATGATGGATTTAATTTAAAATTTGAAATATGCAAATTTTTTTTAATACACATCTGAGTGTTGATAGAAATACAATTAATTCACATTTGGGTAGGCGAATATTCACCCCAAACAGTTCAAGTCTACTTTCCATTCTCTAATGATGGCTGTTGCTCTCAAATAATTATCGAGTTATAGAATTAATTTTAAATCACAAGTTTTTGCGTTATTCTTCTCAGTGCTGCCAGGAGTCCGACCCGATTCACGTTGGTGAATAGGATGACAAACTTTCTTGTCATAATGGAAATAATCAAGATATGAAGTGTTCGTTCCAATTGATTTGAAATCACAATTAACAAGTTTTAAGTTGATCTTGGAATTGGAGATTAATGTTAATGAGTGGTTTGTGGTGTCACTATGGGGTTGAGTCCCTATTGGTGAACATAGAGCTCTCTGAGTTTCAATTGTTCTCGAAACCATCAATGAGAATGAGAAAAGTGAAGACCTGTTCGAAAGATAGGTTCATTTCAGAGGGCGTTTTCTGCAACTCATTTCATGCACATACGTTGGGACTTGGAGTTTCCCTAGCAGGAAATGTAAGCACTACCACAGTCTTTACTCAGTTGATTAGTGTCAATGGTGATCCAAATAGTATTAGTAGTAGTAGAACCATCAGGCACATTTGAAAATGTTATTTGGTATTGAAGTAATTATGAAGTCATTGCACCAATTTTAGTATTCATCAATAATTATGCATCATTTGTTGTGATGATTAGTCAGAGTAAGCAATAAAATGTTCCACGAGCCAACATTTAGACGAATTCATCTGATTGGCTCCCACTAATCAATCAGAAAATTACGTCTAGTTGGTGTCGAGCATTTTTTACAACCTCATCGAAAGACAATGCATGAGATGGCACCGATTGCTTCTCCATCTTATCACCAAGCTCTGGTGTCCATGCCAATTTCTCTGTGGCACAGATGTCCACCTTGAATCACCGTTAAGTGCAGGTACAAACTGCGATACAGGTTCGGTATCAGATGTAGGCTTTGGATCAACAATATATTGACGAACAGGTTCCCCAGGTGATTTCGATGCAAAGTTCCAGTCGGAGACTGATTCCGTAGTTAGTTTTGACTTGATTCCTTTATAATTTATTCTCGTTTCTCTGTCTTTTAATTTATTTATCTCAAATGGCAGGCGTTTTCGATAGTTATCATTACCCCTTTAGCTGACTTTGGGCTTCACAGAGAGGAGAAGGAGGAACATCAAAGTGGCAAAAAGTCGAGATAATGGACAGAATAATGAATCACAGGTGTAAGAGACAGACAGGCAGAAAGACGGAGAAATTGTAAGACGAGGACTGTGGTAGGGGACGAATATGACATACGATCGGGTCATGATAGTTTAAAGTCAAAAGTCAACTGCCGGCTAATAGACCTTTTTACCGTATGAGTAAACGTTGCCCAGGATGCACCACGTGTAGGTAAGTCTCTCCCGTACCCTCTTTCTTTTTAATTTGAGTTTAACCAACATGGATGCTGAAATATCTATTTACTATTTCCAGTTCATGGCTTAAATAGAATGTTAATTTAAAATTTCTTATACTTTCAACCAAAAATTTAATAGCCACCTTATTATAATAAGTCTATTTTGCATCATGCTTCCAGTTTATCACGAGTTATTAGTAACATTTCGCAAATTAACACGTTTCTACGGCTTTAATCAGCCAACATAACACGAGAAAACGATCTGACGCCATCATTATTTGAAGTTCAGGCTCTTACTATAAAAGGATGTGAGCTAGGCTAGCATGTGGTCATATATTTTGATAAGTATCATCACAGACAATTCAAAAAATAATATAACTGGAATTCTGGACAAAATTGACCTTATCATGATCGGAATCGAGCACAAACCAACTGAATATAGAGATTTTGGCACACATACCTCAAATGTGGAAATTGGGTTCACAAGATATTGTGATACAATTCCTGAGTTGCATCAGTCGCCAATTTCTTTTAAACGGTACTTGCGTATCACAAAGCCTCAGTTGACCAAACTCTTGGAACCTAAAGAAATGTGTGGTTATACGGACGTCTCTGATTTTTCTGAACAAATGGAGAGCTGCTCAAATATGGAACCCCAAAAGTATTCCGATGAATCGGAAAGTGACGTTTACAGTAACAACGCTACCATGAACCTCCCGTACACTATCTCGAGGCATGTGCATGACTACTTGAGACCTACCATCAGCTCATCTCATCAAGATCACCTGGTCACATATTCCCTTGATGATAGAAATGGAACCACAATCTCTGAGAAGATTACTCTAAATGATAACACCGAAGTGACTGAAACCCTCTATCCTATTACTGATAACAGTGCATTTATTGAATATGATGATTGTAAAGAGCCAATACCGGCTGACATGTGTAAAATGCGTTGGATGGAATTATCCTCTGTAGAATCCAATGTCGATACCTTGGAAGATGCTGAGTCGATGTGTTATAGTGAGAAAATTGTTGAGCCAACTGAGTCGCAATGCGTCACTATAGTTGATGAACCAGAAGAAGGCTCTATCACTGAGAAAGTATCTACACCGAACATTGAAAACATTGAAGAAATGAAATCTGATATTCAACTTGAGGCGGTGGAAGATAAACCGGAGGCTCCGCACCAACCCAAGTATAGCAAATGTTTCCTAAGGCTGGTGAGGGCACTACAACCTGATCTTTATGAATACATTGAAGACCTCCCGGAAGTGAAACAAATTATTAAAGCAAACAATAGGTCCCTAGGAACAACTGTTAGACCACTTCGAAAATCGCGATCGGTTGCAAAGACAGAAAGAGAGCATCTGCAAAGTGAACCGACAGGAGGTTCAACGCCTCGTAAGCAGCACTCCGTTGTAACAATAAGACCAAGTCTACAGAGATGCGGGCATTGTGCTCGAAGCACAAGAATAACGTCCACTTCAAAATCTGTGGTACCTAATCCGAAATCTAGACTATATCAAGTTAAGAAGCGCGCATTAAGCACCCAATAAAAGATTCTCTGCGATATTTAATTTAGTTTTGGATTTTTTCGTTCATTGGAATGGCTGGACAATTAAATAATGAAGATAGAACTCAAACGGTCTATTATTTGGAGTCAGTTAAGTTGATCGAATGTGAGTGTATTTATTATGTATTATCCATTCCAAAATTAATAGTCAATAATATTGCTCCATTCAAAATAATTTTTTATGGTAGACATTTATAAAAAACCCGTCAGCAGTAAGAAATACCAAAAAATTGGAAAATTTGAAGAAATTTGAGCAATATAAAGTGGTTAGAAACCCAAATCTTGAGGTCGGTGGCTTTCTACTAAATGCTCTTTCCAAACGTTTAAAAGTCAGGCTGTAAAATAATACGAGAAAAGTGGGGAAATAATTTTTTTATTATATTTATATTAGGATCCAGAGACCTGTAAATATTCAAGAACTCGGTAACTGATTGGCAGAGTAAAAAGTTTTGGAGCAGGAATTCAGAACGTAGAGCTTGTTTCGGTCTACGGTCTTGCTCATTTTAAAGCTATATCACAATGATACAATAGCCAATGCATGTGTATGTAAACTTAGAGGAAATGTGTTCGACCCCCCGCCCCATCAGTACACACTCAGGGGGAGTTGCGGATTACCGCGATAATTGAGTTTGACTAATAAATGGGTTCCCTGACGCTGCTCTGCTCCAGCTAAGCGTTGGATGTAGCTTTGGCGTTCCGAGATCCAAATTATTCGGAAGTCTAAGATGTACTGACAAACCATGTAGACCAATGAATGTGGATATGGAAGGTGAAGCTACCATTAGCTCTTTAATTGACATTGGGTTTCGCGGAGGGTTGAAAACATCAAATTCACAAACTGCGGAGAGGGGGAACAGAAGAGTAATTCACAGATGTGTGGGACACGTCATCACATGCCTGCACGCCAGGATTGGGTGGTGGAGCGTACAACTCTGTGTGCAGCGACCGTACAAACAGTGGCCAATCAGTAGTCTCTATTTGTTTAACCTATCCCACCCCGTTGATCATGATTAAGCTCCACAATATACTTACCGAATAAATGTGTTCCGTTCTATACGTCTATTTCCTCTATAGCTGGGCTTCAGCTTAGTTGATTCTGGGAGTCTAGCTAGATGTTGGAGAATCAGCCACAGAGATTTCTGAGTCAGTCAGGCTTTACTAGTATAGCAATCCGCTACAGATGTTAGGGAGCCAGACACAAAGGTAGAGAAAACTATATGGCGGAGTGAGTACTGTGGAAGTGGTCGAATGTGACATACAGTGGGGTTATGGTAGTGCTTAGTCAGAAGCCAACTTCCGGTTTTTAGACTTTTTGAATTATGAGTATACCCTGCCCAAGGTGTCCCATGTTAAGGTAAGTCTATCGCGCACCAGGCAAATCAACATTAATATCAAATTCTGCAGCTTCTTCTTGTAGAGCCAAGGACAATAAAAGTAAAATTCTAATTCCTGATTTGATTTACTGAAGGTCTACCAAACAGAAATTCTAAATTTCTCATATTAAAAGTGATCGCGAAACATTGGTTTCATCCACCCAGAAGCCTCGTTTACTAACGAGACTTGGGAAGATGGTGTGAATTCGATCAATTCACAACCAGAACCTTCAAACCACCGGTAATTAAATCTACGGACCATCAGAATCTAAAATGCCAGATAACAATTACTTAAACGCCTAATACCATCTTCAAGATATCAAGCTTATTCCTTTAAATTCGAAGAAAATTACCCTCTTTCCTTTTCAGTGAAAAGAATAGGTATTGCTATTTCCTATATACCCTTCCCTATGTCTCTATCAAATATAAAGTGCGCTTCTTGTTATAAACAAACAAATAAATGAATTATTGTTCATGGAGAAATCTTCTTTTCAAATATTTATTTATATATTTCAAACGGCAGGGGTTATGATAGGTATCATTAGCCCTTTAGTTGACTTCGGACTTCACAGAAAGGATGATGAACATCAAAGTGTCAAAAAACTTCACAGAAAGGATGATGAACATCAAAGTGTCAAAAAGTCTAGAGGGGGGCAGAACAATGTTTCACAGATGTAAAAGAGATAGACAGACAAACACAAAGGTGAAGAAAAGGCAAGGTAAGATGAGTACTGTGAAATTATCCGAATATGAAATGCAGTGGGGTCATGGTAGTTTGAAGTCAGAAGTCAACTGCCGGTTTATAGACTTTTTTGCCGCATGAGTATACGTTGCCCAGGGTGCACCAGGTGGCGGTAAGTCTATCGCACAAATATAAGAAAGAAAACGATGAAAGAAGTTGTTGAGAATGAAATCAAACTTATAAACGACGAATATTTCGTTTGATCGTCCGCGTTGCACAAAAAACCAATTTTTTAACGGTTTTGGGGATTTTAGAGTACATTGTCATGTAACTGTGGCCTTGTTGATTAATTAAGCTGGTTGGCACTTTAAGAAGTTGATTTTAAACCTGGTTAATTGAAGGGACCTTAAGCGGTGAACAAGATCGAAGTAAAGTGAAGTTCATTCGAGGTAACTAAGACTGAGCTCTAATTTTTAAGTAAAAGGATGTAAAAATTATTTGGTGTCTCTTCGCCAATATTCAAAAAATTGCCTTTGATTTAAATCCTCAAATTAATGAGCAACTTTAAGTCTCATGCCCCATTTACACACTTTCAAAAATTTTAAATTTTTTTCACCCTTCGCCTTCAAATTACTATCTACCAGGTCAAAAACTAGTGTAGAAAGGTTGCCCGTTCACGGTGTTGAAATCGAGATTCCAAAAAGTAGTCTCGTTTAACTATGCAATCAGTCTTCGTATGTGCAAGAATGATAATTTGATGAGTATGGGTAAGAACTTAGCCAGCCCCAAGTTCGATCATTTGGTACTTAATACTTAAAAAATTTCCTTTTTGCAAAAAAACCTGCGCGTATGAAGACGAGGACTATCACAATCACCTGGAGTCACACACACAACATTTTCCACGGTTTTTCTAAATAGATATTGACCATGAAATTGAAATAATTACTGACTCAAATTTGCGTAGTCCAAATTCGTTAAATCATGAATTGAATTTTAATCTTCCGTAATTCACACCGGTATTATTAATTTTTGCATGTTCCATTCCAGATAAACACATCACATTTCCATTTAAGCAAGGCTAAAAAAATTTCAGAAAATTGCCACTTGTCACCAATAGGTTGCATTTTTTATGCACAGTTAACTTAATTTAAAGGTTTAGGTGAAGAAGTAATAGCAATATTCCGCAAATTAAGAAATGGAAAATACTCTTAATATGAAGTTATTTCCACTGCTTCATATCATTGTGGTTTTAGCACAAAAATCAAGACTAAAGACCTCACTAAGGGTCGAATGAGAAAGGATATGGATGGTGAAATTGTTCCAAGTTTAGAAACCACATTCGAAGAACAGTCTTGATCGTATTCGTTTAATTTATGAAAATTAAAATTCATTTTTTCAAATATAATTGATTAATTTTAATTGAATGATTCTATCTTGGTTCCTGAATCAACTATTATAAGTAGCTTTACTCCGATTATTTAATCTTAATCCAATACTTATTAGCATAGTAGTTGTGGAGGGTATTTATTTATTTATATCAAATGGCAGGCGTTTTAATAGT